TAAGAGATTAGAAGAAAGAAAGAGTAGAAGTTGAATCAAAATAAAAAATAGAAGGTAGGTATTACTACCGATCAACAACAACAGTTTCAAACTAAAATTAATGTTAGACGATAGAGTGAAAAAAGAGAAAATATTTATCCAAATTTACACATACAAGACAAAGATATGACATATATTTTATCAAAATTATAGCAATTTTAACTCATATATCTCATATATATGCATGCTATACAAGTGATTAGGGGCAGAGTTAACTCTCTTTTAACATGGGGAAGCCAATGGTATTTTTAAGATTGGAAAAGAATAGAGACAACACACAAGAATTTTTAAGATTTGCAAACACCTAAACATGTGTTAATGGTGACCTTGAGTGACAAAAAAAATTTTGGTTTGTGTTTGTTCACGCATTGAAATAAATAAACTAAAAATGATTTTTTTTTTTTTTGAGTGAAAATGGATGAATAGAATTAAGAATCAAAAATTGCTAACTCAACCATTATAATGATATCAAAGGTTGAGGAATTTCCTCAATCCAACCTTATTCAACTTGGTCTAAAAAGGGGAAAATGGAGTGGTGGAACTAGAAAAAAAAATATTAGGAGGGCGAAAATTTATTTTCAAAATTTAATTTTTGAAATTGAAAAATTCACTATTTTATAAATAAAATGTAAAATTTTCTATATTTTGCAAGTTAAATTTTTAAAAATTTTTAAAGTTAGAGGAGGCGAGGGTCACTATCGACTACTCCCCAATTTGCCGTTGTATATATGCAAATTCATATTTTAATTATATGCACACCCTATAATAAGTATAAAATTTTGAAGAATCAAATATATGAATAAAGGTTATTTATATTATTGGTGTTTAAACTTCTCAATTATTTCTAATTTTGTGTTTAAATAGAAAATATTTTCATTTAAATGTTTGAATCACTTTGCTTCTTATAGTCAAATGCATTTGGCGTACAGGAATCACTAAATGATTAATAAATCGATCTAGGTCCACATCTCATTCATAAAACTAGTGAATTGGAATTGGGTTCAGTTCTCACTTGGCTCGTGCCTGTAATTAATTTGTAAATTGACAAATACAACCCTCACTCCCTTCAATTCAGCAACTCCAAAGGGGTAGCCATCCTTCTTCACATTTCATTAATATCATTCAAACAAAACACCAATGTTTTTATATTTTCCGTTTTCAAATACTTATCACATTTGGATATTTCACCTCCTTTAAAGAAAATTATTTAATTTGTTTAAGTTATAATAAATTATTGAGTGAATTGATTATATTATCCTTAGTTTGTTTAAATTATAATAAATTATTGAGGAATTCAACAATCATTATTGGACAAATACAAAAGTTAAAAATGAAAAAATAATTTATTGTTTGTGAAAAATACACAAATTGACAAATATTTTGAAATATAGTATTTTCTCGAATGTAAAAAATATTTAGAAGCCAATGGAGTATTATTTTAATTTCCATTTTACTCGATGCCAACCAATAAATATTTCAATGTTTTATTATTCGATAAATAGTATTCTTCCACCTCCGTTTAATTGTTAAGTAAGAGATTAATCTATTTATACATTTTTAATTGAATTTGATTTAATTAATTTGCTCTTAGGGCTAGATTCTCAACATTAATCCCACAACATGAACGTTGGTGACAAGCCATGTAACATGAGATTTTACTGCTCTTGAACAAAATAATACTTGGGTTATTACTGATCTCCCACTTGGGAAAAGTGCTCTAGGATGCAATTGAATCTTCAAAATCAAATATAATCCTAATGGTTCAATAGAAAGGTATAAAGCTTATTTTTTAACCAAACGTTAAAAAACAAAGGGCATCGACTACTCTAAGTCATTCTGCCTTGTTAAAATTACAACAATCTACTTATTATCGGCCTTTGCTGCTGCTCATAATTGGCATCTTTACCAACTTGATGTTGGCAATCTTTTCTTTATAGAGATAACCATAAAGAAGTTTACATAGTCTTACCTCGAGGCTATTCCGCTACTGTTACAAAACCTAATCAAGTTTGTCATCTTCAAAAGCCTCTTTATGGCCTTAAACAAGCAAGCTGATAGTTGTTTTCCAGTACTCCATTGCACTTATTTTGCTTAATTATATGGGTATTGATAGAGAGGTGCTGTCTTTTGCATGATATATGATGCGATGAGTCAACTATTTCGCGGTAGCTTGTCTATTGGCAGAACTTACTTCATTTGGGAGGCAATTTCTAAATTTTCTATTCTTTTTGGTTTTTTCAAATCTTTTCTGCTATTTAATTGCATTGTATTATTCTAAGTCAAGCATGGGCATACAAGCATCTTTCTTTTACTAATCCCACTTTGAGAGCATCATGACTGGATTTATTTCCAATGGGACTTCATTGGCGTGGCACTAATGTAACTATCAACAATTTGAGATTTCAATTTAGAGTTACCAGTATTGAGATCATTTCATTTGAATATCGACTTGAACACAGAAACACGGAAATACGTGTAAATTTTTTTTTTGTTAAAAAAACTTAAAGTGCAGAAGTTTGGCGCGATCCTCTTGTCCATATTCAAGTTATTCTTTTTCATGTTAATAAAAGTGTTGGCCCATTAATTGAAAGCACTTGTACTGGAGTTGAAAAATCAATCTTTACAAGTCTTGCTGGGATTCAACAAAATGACAACAGAATGACATTATAAATGGTCTTGTCGCTAAATTCCATTGCTAAACCGTTAGTATGTTGCATGCTACTTTATCACGCAAATTAGCATTGGATTAATAACAGATTTATCCATAATATTCCCTGCATATTCCTGTTAAATTGTTGCCTATTAGTTGCTAAAATACATATATATATATATATGAAAGTTGAATAGTTAATAATAATTATAAAAATTCACTACGTTATAAAAATATAAAATTAAAGTGCATCAGCCATAGTTTATTGCTAAATATACATATATTTATATGAAAGTTGAATAGTTAATAATAATTATAAAAATTCACTACGTTATAAAAATATAAAATTAAAGTGCATCAGCCATAGTTTATTATATAATAAATGTTAAAATTACAGTGCATAAACTTTAATTGACTGCACCACCCGAGTTGGAGGCCTAATGGTAAAAACATTGATATTCGCCTGCTTGATATAGATTCGATCCTTCGTAACAGTTCTCACACATAAAGTCTAACTTGGCAAAAAATAAATATTCAGTCTCTTCGTCTTCTTGATTATTTTCACTCTCTATCATCTCGTCGTGTTTATATTGAGCAAAAAATTCATCATTTATCATGAAATTGTTCACGCAAAAGAATAATAATTATATCTCTCTACACATTAATAGGTTGTGGATATATTTTTTCCAATATTAGAAATCTTGGTTTCAAAATGTTCAATAACATTCTTAAATTTAGCAAGGGTGTAGTTAAAATTTTCTTTTGTAATAATAGCATGCATAAGAGGATATAGATCGTATTTTCCTATAATTCACATGTATTTGTATAGATCGTATTTTCCTATAATTTCATAAACATAAAATTATTAATAATTTTATTAGCAATTAACAATTTATCAATATTGAGAGAGTATTAACTAAATATCATTACGTCACGATTCTGAACATAAAAACACGTGTAAAGATTAAGAAAAGAAAAGATCAAAGAGTTTGGCAGGATCCTCCTCTCTATATTCAAGCTATTCTTTTTCATCTTAATAAAGCAGTGGTATTGAAAGTAATTGAAAGCGCTTGCATTGGAGTTGAAAAATCAATGCTTACAAATCTTGTTCGCCATTCAACAATATGACATTATAATTGAAAGCGCTTGCATTGGAGTTGAAAAATCAATGCTTACAAATCTTGTTCGCCATTCAACAATATGACATTATGACTGATGTTATAAATTATAAATTTAACATAAATTTTTTTGAGAAGTACAATCATAATCTCTAATAAGATTAGTTCTAAATCTAAAACTAATGATATAAGTCGATTATTCAATCGTAACAAAAAATAATTTATGCAAATTGTGAGATCTTATGTGCTTATTTATACATATTTAAACTAAATAAATCTATATAAAAAATAACTAAATTTGTTTTTATATATAAGAACTAATTAATTAAAATAACCAGCTAAAACTATGTAAAAACTACTGCAATTAAGGTTTGATCTTATGTCAATTAACCTGAGCAATAACAACGATACCACCAAACTAATAAATTTACAATAAACATTTGCACATTATAAAATAAATTTTCAAATTCGGGGGGGCTGGTGAGTAAATGAAACCGAGCACAAAAACAAGAAAATACCCGCGAGGTATTCCTTTTCTCTCTCTTCGTCTTCAAGAAGCCTCTCCTCTGCAATCACCGCACAAGAGGTGTTAGTTTTTCTTTTATTTATTTATTTATTTATTTTTTACAGAATCTAAAGGAAGAAGATAATGGTGAGATTTTAAGACATTGGGGGATAGAGATTGGACAATAGTTGGGAATTTTATAGGTCCTGGCCTCAAAATTGACTTTTAAAAATATTCTTATATGTTAACTAGGCCAAAACTTGAGCTCAAGTTTTGTTCTTCTTTTATAAAATTGAACCTATTATCCTATTACACTGTATATATATCAAACTACATAACCGTACCCCACCATAATATTGTTCTTGATTTTTAGTTCTTGTATTTTTTAGAAATTCAATTGCTTCCCGAAAAGTATTTGAACTCTGCTCTGATTAATCCAATTCATATCATAATTGATAAGGCGGAAAATTAGACCTATACAAGCGCGAAAGAAACTTTTAAAGTTTCTGTAAATATTATAAGTTAAATCATTCGATCAATAATTCAGACCAATATAATCTTTCAAAAAAAAAAAAAATATCAGACAATATAAAAAGGAGAAAAAAGGTTAATTAGTTTTTCAGAAAAACAGCAAAAAAGGTTAATTAGTTTTCAGAAAACAGCAATAAAAAAGAATAACAACGCGGCCATGGCAAAAGCAAAGCTGAGTAGCAGAGAGAAAAGATGGTCTCTCAAGGGAAACACTTCTCTCGTTATAGGAGGAACCAAAGGCATAGGGTAAAGCTTATTTACTTAATCGTTTATTTTCCTCTCTTCTTTCATTCCATGCTTATATTAGTTTTCTTTGGAGTTCAGACATGCTATAGTAGAAGAATTAGCAGAATTTGGGGCAGCTGTGCACACTGTTCTCGCAGCCAAAAAGAGCTTGATGGGTGTTTACAAGAATGGCAAACCAAAGGTTTCAAAGTAACTGGATCTGTATGCGGCGTATCAATTCGAGACCAGAGGGAAAAACTTATAGGCTGTTTCCTCCATCTTTCATGAAAAGCTCAACATTCTTGTAAGTTTTCTTTTTTCTTTCTTATGTTTCTTTCTTAATGGTTCAACCGAGGGCATTCAAGCGTGTGTCTGTTTAATAGTCCACATAACCTGAATATTCCATGTTCGCTCCGAGAGGCATGGGAGCTGGCCTATGGAGAAATTAATATTTAAAAAGAATTATTTTAACTGAAATTGAAACTCACAATCTTACATCTGCTTAATTAGGTTAACAACGCTGGGACACATAGATTTAAAGAAGCCTTAAAGGATACTGCTGAAGACATTTCGACGGTTATGAGTACAAATTGTGAGTCTGCATATCATCTAAGTCAGCTTTCGCATCCTCTCTTAAAGGTATGATTGCTTTCCCTTCCATTGCAAATATCTCTTCCATTGCAAGCATCATTGCTTTTCCTTTTTGTGCTGTCTATGCAGCATCCAAAGATATGATTTTATGCTTCTTTTCCCCTTTTACTTTCAATATGGCAAACTGACACTATTGTTAGGACTGCGTAGCATGTCCTATTAATAACCTTTTGAATTGACAAAAATTAATTATACATATGATTAGTGTATACTTTTCTTTTTTTTAATAGATATGATTAATAAGAATATTTTAATTACAGTGTAAAAATATATTTTCTTTTTTTTAATAGATATGATTAATAAGAATATTTTAATTACAGTGTAAAAATATAGCTTCAGAGCATTCCCTTTCCAAGTAAATTTCGCTATGTTATCCATACCAAATGAAAAAAAAAAAGAAAAAAAATATAAAACATTAAGCTTAAAATATAGAGTTATTTTATTTATTTGCAATTAAAGATGTTGGTTTTATTTTTTGAAGAAAATGAAATCATATTTCATTAAATTAGAAAGAAATACGTATCTAAGATGTAGTCATACATATCAATAAATTAATATATTTTTGCATAAATAACTTAAATATTAAACAGTTATAGAAAAACAATTAGTTCGATTTAAGGGATACAGAAAACAATAATCATTTGAGGGATACATGTAGAAATGTTGATTTGATTAATTGGAAAAATGGACGATTTGCAGGAGCAATGGAGCAAATTACAAAAAATTTGGCATGTTAGTGGGCAGAGGACAATATTCGAGTTAATGCAACTGTACCAGGATTTATTCATACCCCTCTCGCAAATTATGCACAGTTTTTTTCAATTTCAATATATATATAGTATAGACAATAGTTATTAAGTATTTAAATGAATAAAAAAAATCAATTTTTTTTCTCAATTTTGATTAATCAAATCACAAACTATTTTACATGTATAAATATTGAATTAATTAACATCGTCCTCTTTTACATGAATCTACATTGATTTCACTCGTCGCATTCCCCTCTCTCGAGGAGGAAACCCTAATGAGGCATCATCAGTACTGGTATTCCTTTGTTTACCTGCTTCTTCATATATCACTGGCCAAGTTATAATTGTGGATGGAGGACACACTGTGAATGGCTTCTAAGTTTTACCCAAATAATAAAAACTAAATAAATGTTTTGTGGTGTCCTAAATTAGACTATATATAATTTAATAGTTGATTTTATTTATATAAAGTTCCAATTTGTAGGAAAATCAGATATATCTATGTAGTATCTTTATTCCCTTATGGGGATAATGAGAAAATAAATAATAATAATGATAATAAATTATTTTTTATAATTTTATTACAAACTTTCAATTTCGAAAATTTTTTGCATAGAATTTAAAATTTTCATAATATTATTGTGAAGTTACCTTTAGTATATTATGTTCTTTACCATGAGCTGCTGTTCTAGGAAACAGTAGATAGTGGTGCCAAAGGTGTTTGTCAAAATTTTCTTTGATTTCAATTGATGGAAAACAAAAATACAATGGAAGCCATAAGATCTCGCATATATATAATACACAGGCAAACCACAGAGCTACAGAAAATATAAAATCGAAGTTATGAAATCATAAATACCTCTTAAGCGAAAGAAATCAACACTGATTTCGATTTTTCTTCCATGCAATAGCTTATGTGCTAACAGCTTCTGCTCTACCGAAAACACACTAGTTTTCTCTGCAATCTCCTGTTATGTGACCTAAGCTATTTCTTTAGAACTGTTTGTGTGGACAGACGACTATTGAGAGAGGAAAAATGAAATATGGGAGACTGACGTCTACGTTTAGTCTAAACGTCTCTTATATATTTTCCTAAAATTAACATTAACAAAAACGATATATATATATATATATAACAAAAACGATAATATAATATATATAATAATATATATATAGTAAGTATATAGGATGAAAAATAAATTAAAAGTGTTTAACATACACTCACAACCCTCTATCCAAGAATACCGAAAAATTAAAGCTTAATTTTTTCTTCTTGGATAATCTCTCTATTTTTTCTCTCTTACAATTGCTCTCTCCAAACAATTGCACTCTCATGTTACCTAAATCTACATTTTTTGCCTGTGTATTTGTGAGCTGCTAAACTTTTCCTATTATAGCTTTTCCTATTTATAGGAGAAGAGGATGTCTAAAATTCTGCGTCCACTGCCTAACTTTCTGAACCTGTGTGCTTCTTTTCCTTTGCAACCCACCAATATTCTGCGTCCACTGCCTAACTTTCCAAAGTCGTGTGCTTCTTTTCCTTTGCAACCCACCAATTTAAAATTTCTTCTGATTCAAGTGGGCACACCACAACTTAACTTTGACAATCTCCCACTTGAAGACTGATTTCAATCTGTCTTCACACATCAATCATGTGGTAATCTTCTCAGGTCTATTATTCTTACAGGTCAACTGAAATTGAGCACAACTTCAGTTTGTCAATGGTCACCACCTTTGTTAACATGTCAGCTGGATTCTTTGTCAAATGTATTGCACTCTGACTATCACTATACAAAACATTCTTTTCCTGCATGAATCTCAACTCTGTCAGCAAGCCTTGAAGCCATATCATCTCTTTGTTGGCTTCTGTCACTGCGACATACTCGGCTTCTGTCGTGGATAGAGCTACAATCGTTTGTACCTGTGATATCCAACAACAGTTGTAGTACCAACAGTGAAAATAAAACCTGTGGTGCTTCTTCGGTGATCAACGTCACCTCTATAGTCCGCATCTACATAACCTTGTACTTTTAGTTCTCCTTTACCAAAGTACAAACACTTCTCAGTAGTGCCTCGTAAATACCTCAAAATCCACTTTACTGCTTCCCAATGAGCTTTCCCTGGATTTGACATATACTTGCTAACAACTCCCACTGCATGGCCAATATCTGGTCTCATGGCCAATATCTGGTCTCGTACAGACCATCGCATAAATCAAACTTCCTATGGCTGAAGCATAAGGAATTTTGGCCATGTCTTTTCTCTCTTCTTCTGTCTGAGGGGACTGGTCCTTAGATAGGCGAAAATGGCTAGCCAAGGGTGTGCTGATCGGCCTATCTTCGTGCATGTTGAATCTTTGCAATACACGATTGATGTTCTCCGCCTGAGATAACTGCAACACCTGTTTTTGCTTATCTCTCGTGATTTGCATTCCAAGAATCTTTTTCGCTGGACCCAAGTCCTTCATGTCAAATTCTTTTGACAATTGCTTCTTCAAGTTTTTGATTTCGTTTATATCTGGTTCTGCTACTAACATATCATCGACATAAAGTACATCGACATAAATAACAGAATGATATAACTATCTTTAAAACCTTTTGAAGTAGCAACAGTGGTCCGGCATTGCACCTCTAAGAAACCTTCTCTGTGCATGAAGCGTTCAAATTTTCTGTACCACTGTCTGGGCTTTGCTTCAAGCCATACAAGCTTTCTTGAGTTTGCACACAATATTCTCTTTTCGCTTTTTTTCTAAGAATCCTTCTAGTTGGTAACAATGTATATCTCCTTATCCAAGTCTCAGTGAAAGAAACGCTGAAGAAACGCCGTCTTTACGTCCAACTGCTCAAGGTAGAGCATTTCACTGGCTCACTCTGCTCTGAGTCGCTGGCCACTGGACTTTTTGAGATATTGTCCACCTCTGAAAACACTTGCCCACTCTACTCTGAGTCGCTGGCAACTATGTTATGTCTATCGTCCACCTCTGCAAACACTCGCCCACTCTACTTTGAGTCGCCTGGCATCTGGACTTTCTGAGATATCATTCACCTCTGCAAACACTAGCCCACTCTGCTCTGAGTCGCTGGCCACTGGACTTTCTAAGATATCGTCCACATCTGCAAACGTCCACCATACTGCAAACAACACTGGCCCACTCTATGCTCTTGAGGTTGGCTTTGGCCAACAGGACTTTCTGGAGATATCATCCACCTCTACAAAACACTGGCCCACTTGCTCTGAGTCGCTTGGCCACTTTGCTATGTTTATCAATCCACCTCTGCAAAACACTCGGGCCCACTCTGCGCTGTAGTCGCTGGCAAACTGTGTTATGTCTCTGTATCCACCTCTGCACAAACACTGGCCCACTCTGCTCTGAGTCGCTTGGCGCAAACTGTTGTTATGGTCTCCTGTCCACCTCTGCAAACAACACATGGCCACTCTGCTTCTGAGTCGCTGGCCCCTGCTCTGAGTCGCTGGCCACTGGACTTTCTGAGATATCGTCCACCTCTGCAAACACTGGCTCACTCTGCTCTAAGTCGCTAGCAACTGGACTTTCTGATATATCGTCCACCTCTAAAAACACTCAAAGTGTCTTCGGAGAGTTTCGCATGCATCAGTATAGCTTTCGGTCTTTAGCTACCACAAATGGACCTTTTGTGAGCTTGTACTGACCATTTCTGAAGGTGCTACAGAAACCTTCATCATCAAATCTGCTAACCGAGATTTGGACGCATGCTCGAAAGCCCATTCCTCATCAGTCTTGTCTTCCGATTTAGTTCAACTAAACACAGGCAAATACATTTTTATTACCATAAGGCAAATACATTTTTATTACCATAAGGAGATATCTCATTTCTCCATATATGGTAAATTTCGCCATTTAGACTGATCATTTTGCTTGTCCATTTTGACTTGCACAGAAAATCATCACCAACATAAACCGTATACGTGAACAGTAGTATACATAAATAGTGACCATAAATAGTAACAGCCTACTCGAATAGTAACTGTACGTGAATAATAACTGTACACGTGAATAGTACTATGCGTGAAAATAGTGTTGGGCTTACTTGAAACGGGCTCAGCAGTAATGCCAATAGTACTGTTCACCACCAACTTTGCGTTACTAATTTACTATTCATCACTAAGTCGATTCTGCAACGACTTTCCGAGCGAACAACACCAATAGACTCGTCGTAATTTTCTCGTCGTCGTGGTATATTTATTTTCAAAGTATATCCACGGATCCGGTACCGCTATCTAGACTCGTCGTTAATTTTCTACGTCGTTCGTGGAGTATATTTATTTTTCAAAGGTATTATTCCACGGATCGGTACCGCTATCCTGGGATCCGGCTGGACCTACCGGAAACCTTTGGCTCGATACCAGTTTGTTAGGCAATCAGCTTCTGATACCAGTTGTTGGGAAAAAATTACGCAAAATCCCCGATTAAGCCCAAACGAGGGCTAAGCAAAGAAAATTATAAGTAACACACACAAGTTTGATAACGGCAGGTTCGGGCCCAATCTTACTTACGGTTCTCCGGACTGCTGCAAGATCTTTATAGGAGAAAAAATAAATAAAGTGTTACATATACTCACAACCCTCTATCCAAGCAAAATACCTTGAACAAATTAGGCTTAATTTTTCTTCTTGGATAATCTCTCTATTTTTTCTCTACTTACAATTGCACTCCTCATTTTAACTTGATCTACATTTTTTGCTGTTGTATTTTGATGAGCTGCTAACTTTTTCCTATTTTAATCTACATTTTTGCTGTGTATTTGTGAGCTGCTAACTTTTCCTATTTATAGGAGAAGAGGATGTGTAAAATTCTGCGTCCACTGCCTAACTTTCCAAAGCCGTCTGCTTCTTTTCCTTTGCAACCCACCAATATTCTGCGTCTACTGCCTAACTTTCTATAGCCGTGTGCTTCTTTTCCTTGGAAACCCACCAATTTAAAATTTCTTCTGATTTAAGTGGGTATACCACAACCTAACTTTGACATGACAATCTTAACATCAATCATTTCCTAAATTAGACGATATAGGATCCCTAAAATTATGTTAAATTGTTTATAAATTATCTATAAGATAAGAGTTGTAGTGCTTATCCATTGTCGATGAGATAGAGAGCTTGTGACAATCAATTGTGCGTTCTAATTAAACTTCTAGAAATATCTGTTTAATGCCAGTGTCGGTGGCTTAGTGCGCTGTATATAGGCCGATCTTGAACCAATTACTGTAGGCCGAATTAGTGGCAAGTCAATAATCTGACAAAAAAAAGAAAAAAAAAAAAGAAAAAGACGCAAAGGCCAAAATTGAAATAATAAAAAAAATATTATAACCACTTCAATCAAGATTCTCTTTAAAAAAGAAAAGAAAAGAAAATATCAATCAGTTATTGAAGAAGAAAGACATGGCAAAAGCAGAAATGAATAGCAGAGGGAAAAGATGGTCTCTCGAGGGAAAGACTGCTCTTGTCACTGGAGGAACCAAAGGCATAGGGTATTTCTAATTTACTTATTCTTTAGAGGGAAAAGATGGTCTCTCAAGGGAAAGACTGCTCTTGTCACTGGAGGAACCAAAGGCATAGGGTATTTCTAATTTACTTATTCTTTCATTTTCCTCTCTTCTTTCATTTCATGCTTATATTAGTTTTCTTTGGAGTTCAGACATGCTATAGTAGAAGAATTAGCAGAATTTGGGGCAGCTGTGCACACATGTTCTCGCAACCAAAAAGAGCTTGATCAGTGTTTACAAGAATGGCAGAGCAAAGGCTTCAAAGTAACTGGATCTGTATGCGACGTATCAAATCGAACCCAAAGGGAAAAGCTTATAGATGTAGTTTCCTCCATCTTTGATGGAAAGCTTAACATTCTTGTAAGTTTTCTTCTTTTTTTTCTTTCTGATGTTTCTCTTTTAATGGTTTAACCAAGTGGATAAGTTTTCTTGTTCCGTCTCAATCTCATTTTTTAAATAAATAATTTTTCGATATATTAATTTTTTTTCCGCAGTTATGTGGATTTTTATTGAAATATTAAAAAGAAGCCGCCATTATTAATTAAAAAATTGGAAATTTGGAAACTGACAGTCCTACATTATAGCTTAATTTAGCGTCAACCAACGCAGGGAGAAATACATTTAAAGAAGCTTAAAGGATTACGCCTGAAAGACATTTCGGACCATTATGATACCCAATTTTGAGTCAGCATCATCATCTAAGTCAGCTTTCGCACTCCTCTCTTAAAGCATCAGAATATTGGAAATATTGTAAATATCCTCTTCCATTTACAAAGCATTGTGCTTTGCCTTCTTTTTGCCACTATTATGCAGCATCCAAAGCGTATCGATAATTAGCTTCCTTTTGCCCTTTTACTTTATACATTGACTACATAGATTAATATTAAATTATTTGTGCCCTTTTACTTATACATGATACATAATAATATAATTATGTCTTTCGGCCATAACTTTATATTATAGCAGTAATTATTGATAAAATTTTACCATATAATAAATATTTATTACTAATAGCTATCAGCTACTGGCCACCACATATTAATTATTAGCTAACACAAACTGATCTTCAGTACTTATTGAAAATTTTGTTAAAATTGATCTATTTGCTATTTAAAAAACATAACAGTAAGCTTGTCGTACGCAGTTAACTATTTGCTGTTCACTTGATTAATTGATAAGATGGATGATTTGCAGGAGCGATGCAGCAAATTACAAAAAATTTGGCATGTGAATGGGCAAATGACATGATTCGAGTTAATGCAGTTTTACCAGGATTTACAGATACCCCTCTCTTAGATTTTGCAAAGGTTTTTCTATTAAACAGTTTTTAATAATTAAATATTTAAAAGATAAAAAAAGCAAATTTTTTCTCATTTGTGATTAATCAAAGTGAAATAGTTTTACATATGAATATTGAATCAGTTAATATTTTGCTCTTTTATAGAAAAGTTGGGATAATCCTGAAGTTGAGGAGCAAATGACTCGTAGTATCCCTCTCTCTCGAGAAGGAAAACCTGAAGAGATAGCATCAGTGGTGACATTCCTTTGTTTACCTGCTTCTGCATATATCACTGGCCAAATTATAATTGCTGATGGAGGATGTACTGTGAGTCGCTTCTAAATTTTTCCCAAATAATAAAAACAAAATAGTAATTATTTTTGTTGTATTCTGAATTAGACAATATCTATTTTAGTAATTAAAAACATTTAAATAAAGTTTCAATCTGTGGAGAAACCATATGTAACGTGCTAATTCTATTACTAGAAGTGTTAATTTAAATTGGCAATATACTAGAAGGTGTTATCTCTAAATTGGAATTATGCATCTTTTGTAGACTGGAATCAACTTGGCTGCTTTTTTCATGCACCAAGAAGAAAAAAACCAATTGGGAATTTTCTAGGTTTAGACAAGCACATTTACCCGCAGGTATGTTTCAGGCTTGCTACTGTATTTTTATCTATTCAATGTCTAGTTTTGGTACCTTTTTATTTTTTTTAAAAAATATTCTATTCACAAATTTACTATTTTTATTAATAAGAAAATTCATTCGATCTAATTAACATGTAAACTTATATTTTGGGGGGGGAAAATTAATTTTATTTTTTTTTATAAAATTTAAAAAAAAATTTTTTTTTTATAAGTTATTAGGTAGGAGAACAAACAATTATCCTAAAGCTATTGCGCTCTCTAAATTTATTTTTATTTTTTTAATATTAGAGAATTATTGTTAAGAAAAATATATAATTCACATTTTTTGTTTGTTGCTCATTTTTTGCTATAAAATATTGAATCCACAAAAAGATAAAAATAATTTTTAATAGCTTCTAACAATTTCTCAAAAATTTTTATTTATTTAAGTGATATTAAATTTTTAATCAATATTATTCAATTACTTCATTAAATTGCTCATGAATCTCTTTAATCTCTAGTAAAAAAAAATTCTTAAAGTGAAAAAAAAGATTAAAATGCGTCAATAGAACAATTTTTTTTTTTTTTTTTTCTTTTCGTGTAATCATAGTTCATATTATTGTCTTTTTTTTTTTTTTTTTTTTGTAATCATATTCATATATATTGTTGCAACACAATAAAGGAATAAAATCAACCATTAATAGTTTTCTACTTATTAATAACTATCATATTAATAGTTTTGCATCTTTAATAGCCAAAATCCATTTGCAGGGATAGAATGTTTAGAACAGAAGCGTCTAGAGAAGGTAAAAATTGAATAAAATAAAATGATGATGGTTTAAAAGACAATTCACTGTTCGTATTGTATTTACCAGTGAAATGAATTTTACCGATCAATTTGTATTTACCATATTGCTTTACTTTATTTATTTTTCTAGATTATTACCTTTCTTATTTTCTTTCTTTTTATTGAGTAAATAAATTTATTAAGTAAAATAATTCAACCAACTACACTTGACTGTAATTCTTTAATTAAGACAGTCAATTACTCATCCGTTTTGAAAAGATAGTCCTTTTTTCATACAGATTAAAAAATATAAATTATTATGATTAACAGATAATTTTATTACCATAAATTTTTTATTATATCCATTTTTTTTTAAAGGACCAATTATACCTATCTTAAATACTAAAAACCATATTAATAATATAAAATGGAAAATATAAATTGCAATTATTGAGAATAACTAACATCGATAATCTTTTAAAATTCAAGAGGAAAAAAAAATAGAAAAACAAAACTACTTATTAAATAATATACGAATTTAAAGGGAAATGACTTACGAAAAATAATAAATTAACTGGGATTACTAAAAATAAGATAAAACTTAATAAGGATATAATAAATAATTTAACTATATATAGAAAAAGTAAGTGGATTATAATTTGGGATAGACCAAAATTGAAAGATAGATTATCTTTTTAGGCAAAGGAGTATGAATTATTTCTCTTGAAATACTAAAAATAAGAAAATTAAAAAGTTTAAATACTACAAATGTAATTAACTTTTTTATTTTTAATTAAGGCCAATACAGCTTTCGTTTTTTAAAATCATGTGAGAGTCGTATGAATCCACTCCTTAGCTTTGTAGAATAAACTTTCTGCTTTCATTTTCAAAATTGAAAAAAAACGAAAAACAAGTGGAGAATCTGATTTTCTGATTAGGCTGTTATTCTGATTAGGCTGTTACTACTGTACAGATAGTTTATTCTGTATTGATACAGAATCTTCATTAATTGACACATGCATTAAAGAAAACTATTGTAATAGGTTACTCAACTTGTTGCTCTATTCTTTATCTATATGTTTCCTAACTTTATCTTTTCTTTATCCATATCTATTTTCTATCATTGTAATAGGTTACTCAACTTGTTGCTCTATTCTTTATCTATATGTTTCCTAACTTTATCTTTTCCTTTATCATATCTTATTCATCTATTCCTATACATTTATTATATAAAATTATTATCTAACGATAAAATATAAAATTCATTCTTAGTAAAAAACATTTAGAATTCAAATTCATGACATAAAATTTTTCTTATTATAACATATTATATAAAATATTATCTAACGATAAATATAAAATTATCTAGAAAAAAATTAGAATTCAAATTCATGCACATAAAATTTTTCTTCTAGTGTTATTAATTTTTTTTAAAATAAAATTATTGCTTATCATTTGAAATCGTGTATATAAAATATCATATATTTTTCTTCATATTTCTTGCGCTATGCAAGCTGTTTTTCCTGCAATTGCATGAGCGCATTAATGTTAACTTCTCATCTCTCCTCTATAAAGCACGGTTTGTAAATTCTCTTTCTTGTGGGTAATGAAGACTTGATTGACGATGCTCTGCAGTGAAAGCTGAGGAGGAACCATGAATATCCTTTGCTGGAATTGTCGAGGACTAGGTAACCATCGAGCAGTTAATGCTCTCCATGAACTTATTCGATGCCATAAGCCGACGGTCATTTTTATGTCTGAAACCTTAGTTACTTCGAGTAAAATTGAGCAGCTCCGATATAGCCTTCATTATGACTGCTGTTTTGCTGTGGACGCGGTGGGGCACAGTGGTGGTTTAGCTATTTTATGGAATACTCAGATAAATTTAGAAGTTATGCGTTATTGTTCGCATTTTATTGATATGAAAATAACAGAAGCTGCAGGTTTTACATGGCGCCTCACGGGTTTTTATCGCATGCCGGAACGACACCGTAGGCAAATTTCATGGAATGTCCTCCGTTCTCTAGCTCGGCTGACAAATCTTCCCTGGCTAATTTGTGGAGACTTTAATGACCTAATGTTCGCTGAAGAAAAGAAAGGGCGTAATCCTCATCCTCCATGTTTATTACAGGGTTTCTCGAATACTGTGGCTGACTGTGGTCTGATTGACTTGGGAATGTCGGGATATCCTTTTACTTGGGCTCATGGTAGAGGTCAACATCGGATAGAGGAATGATTGGACAGAGCTTTGGGAAATATCATTTGGCAGAACCACTTTCCTAATTATCAGGTCCAGAATTTAGTCTCGAGTAAGTCCGATCACTCTCCTCTTCTTATTCTTACTGCCCCTAGTATAAAAAATATGAGGCATCATCGCTTTCGGTTTGAGAATTTTTGGTTAGAGGAATCTGATGTGGACACTGTGGTTAGAGAGAGTTGGACCAGTTATGACGGTGTTGATGCAACGGGGAAGATAAAGGTTTGTGGACATCATCTACAGAACTGGGGCAGGAGACTAAAGCTTCGATTCAGACAGGAAGCCAAGCAGTTGACAGTGCAGCTTGAGAATCTTCGGATCAATGGAAATATTGATCAGTTTGAAGGTGTACAGCGTAAGCTTGATGATGTTCTGCACCGTGAAGAGGTCTTCTGGTCTCAAAGAGCGAAATCCCATTGGTTGAAATCGGGGGATATGAACTCTAGGTACTTCCACGCAACTGCTCAAAAACGGAAGAAATCCAAGCAGATTTTTCGGCTGAAGGATGCAAATGGTGAGTGGATAAGTGACAGCAATCTGTTGACAGGAATGGTGAGTGATTATTTTGTTAATCTATATGAGGCAGGGGATGCTGACTTAAGTCCTGTTGTGGGTTTATTCTCTCCTTTGGTTTCGGATAATGATAATTCTATGCTACTTGGAGATATTTCAGTGGATGAGGTTCATTTGGCAGTGAAACAAATGCATGCGGATAAAAGCCCAGGGATGGATGGACTAAATCCTAAATTCTACCAGAGGTTTTGGGATATTGTGGGCCATGATGTTGTTCAAGGTTGTCGAGACTGGTTTAATGCAGGTGTTTTTCCAGATAATCTGAACAATACCCTAATTGTGCTTATTGTGGGCCATGATGTTGTTATATTGTGGGCCATGATGTTGTTCAAGGTTGTCGAGACTGGTTTAATGCAGGTGTTTTTCCAGATAATCTGAACAATACCCTAATTGTGCTGATACCAAAAGTAGAAGACCCAGAGGCAGTGAAGGACTTTCGACCTATTTCACTTTGTAATGTAATTTACAAAGTCTTTGCTAAGATTCTGGCAAACAGGCTGAAGACCATCCTACCTAATCTTATCTCATTATCTTAGTCGGCTTTTGTCCCGAACCGGTTGATTTCAGATAATGTGTTAGTTGCTTTCGAATTAATACACTCTATGCAAACCAGAATGACCGGTCGACAAGGAGCTTCCGCACTGAAAGTTGCAACTGAAAGTGATATTTTCAAAAGCCTATACAAAGTCACGCTGGTGCTTATTTACCGGCTGTTATGCTCCCGGGCTTAGGTTTAGCCAGCGTTGGGTTTGACTTGATATGTTGTGTGTTTTCCCCTCTGTCCCAAATATTGGGTTGGTGTGAATGGGGGACGAGGTTGGCCAATTTATCCGGAACGGGGTTTGAGACAAGGTTGTCATTATCTCCCTCCTTATTTATATCCTATGTGCTGAAGGGACTGTCAAAGTTGGCTTAAGTAAGTCCCTGCAAAAATGAAGTCGTCCTCCAAGCGCGTTAGATCTCCGAGAGTGCGCCTGCGGCTATCTCACTTTGTTTGTTTTGCGATGATAGTTGGTTCTTCTCTTTGAACAGGCAATCTCGATCAAGCTTTAGACGGATAAAAATATTCTAGTCACTTACGAACAGCTTCGGGTCAATGCGGTCCAATGGAAACAAATCGGTGTTAATGGTATTTTCTTCAGCTCAAACACTTCTGAACCGGACAAGGATGCCGTTAATGGAGTTTTTGGTGTGCTTGCTCCTTTAAACCACGGAAGGTATCTAGGCTTGCCCTCATTAATTGGCCGGGAAACGAGGCGCATTTTTTCTTTCTTGAAGGATCGAGTGAGGAAGTTGGTCAGTGGTTGGAACCAGAAACTTCTATCCAAAGCGGGTAAAGAGGTGCTAATAAAGTCTGTGGCACAAGCTATTCCTTCATTCTGTATGAGTGCTTTCCTTATACCGGTATCCATCTTACAGGAGATTCAGAGGTTAATGAATTCTTACAGAGATTCATGAGGTTAATATGAATTCTTACTGGTGGGGAGGAAAAGATGAGATGGTTAAAACGTTTGGGAAAGGCTGATGGTTGAGTTGGGAAAGGATGTGTGTAGCAAAGGAAGAAGGAGGTTTGGGTTTTAGACATTTGCGAAGTTTCAATCTGGCCTTGTTAGGAAAGCACTGCTGGAGGCTTTTACATAATACAAACTCTCTCTTTTATAGCTCTTTCAAATCTAAATATTTCCCTAGTGGGGATTTTCTTGGTGCAGGCATTGGCCGTAATCCAAGCCTTGTATGGAGAGGGATTTGTGCAGCCAAGGAAGCTATATGTTCAAGTTTTCAGTGGAGAATCGGAGATGGTCAATCAGTTAATGTCTGGACCGAACCGTGGCTATTGCGGGGTAATCAGTTTCGGGTTCACTTGCCTATTCTTCCTGGTTTTGAGCATATACGGGTTTCTGATCTTATTTTGGCAAATGGGGCGCGTGCTTGGAATTTGCCACTGATATTGAATTTGCCCCTGATACAAAGTTTTTTTTCAATTTCTTCAATTGCTGAACTTATATTTGCTTCCATTCCTTTTAGCTACAAAATATCCAGGAAGACACCCTTATATGGCACTGGACAGACTTCAGGAATATATTCTGTGAAATCTGGTACAAACAAAAATATGTAGCATCTCAATGTGTGGATAGTGGAAGAATAAATTTTTGCAGTCCCCAATGTTTTTGGAAAGCTCTTTGGTCTCTGAAAATTCCGCACGCCGAAAGGAGGCATTTCCCTCTGGAGGTGCTGCCCCGAAGAACATCTGCATTAAAAACACTTTGGAAAGAAGGGGAATGGAGCTTGATACAAGATGCGATTATTGTGGTTGTTTGCTGAAACGTTAGCCCAATGCTCTGTTTTGAGTGTCCAAAAGCAAGTATTTAGGTTGGTCACGTTTTTTTTGGTGTTCAACCAAATATTGGCCAATTTTCCAAATTTTCTTCTTACAAGATGTTCGAAACACGTGCTACAAAGGTGTGGGAAAAGCGACTTTTTTTGAGAGTTTTTAATTATGTGGTCTATGGAGGTATTTGGCTGAGCCGTAATGATGCTCAATTGGAACAAATGAATGTGGACCCTTATCATGTGGCTTACTCCGAGCCTAGAAGTTCTGCTCCGCATCTTGAAGAAAGCCCAGCTAAAAGCTGTCAGGTTTCAGCTATAAGGCATCGGTGCTTCCTACCAAGTAAGTCAATGGGTTTTTCCCACCCACCCTTCTGGCACTTTTAAAATAAACCTTGATGCCTGTCTTCCTCGTCCCTCCCGCTGGGCATGGAGCTGTCGGTGCTGTACTCCCAAACGCCTTGCCATGGTTTTTGTATCAGCAGCAACGTCCGTTCCTGCATGGATTGCTCTTCTCCCATCAGTAGTCAGAAGCTCCATGCGTTAAGAAATGTTATTATCCTGGGTGCTGTCGAGCCACCATAGCCTTTGACGTTCAAGGTGAGAAACCCGATTGCCTTCCAACAGCTATTCATCTATGTAGGAAGTTCCTGGTCCCACGACTCGGTCCGAGTTTGGTGTTGTCCATCTCTGAATGTAAGCTACTCTTAGTCTCCCAATTGCCTAATGTCAAAAACTGGCTTGGATTTAGAAACGACAAGCAAATGATCTGCTCACGTGCGTTGGCTTTAAAAATCCGTCCCCAGTGGGGCTTTCGTTTTCAAAACTTGGGAATAGTCGTTTCCCAGATTGTATCGCTCGTTTCTTCTCTATTAATATAATCCATCAATCTCGTTTCTTCTCTTATTAATATAATCCATAATTCAAATGTCAAAAAAAAAAAAAAATATAAGAGAAATTTTACAAATATAAAAAATAGATAAGTTATTATAGGCATAAATTTCTTTTAATTAAGAAATTTGTAAAAATATATTAATTACAAATTCTATATTTCAATTTACAAATTGAAGGTTATAAATTCATGATACATGGACGTTTACATTATATAAATTCTAAACCAAACAAATTTTATTCAAAAGCTAGATGATTACATAACAATTTATTTTTAAAAATTGTAAAATATAATTTACAACTAAAATAAGATTGATCAGAAACTTCAAAATTATATATATATATACGTGTAATTTGTTGTTTTTAAAAATTAAATAAATATTTTTATAACTAAATATACAATATGAATTATTTTTTAAAATGTAAATGAATTTAAGATAACAATCAATTAGTTAAAAAACAAAATAGAAGTAATAAGGTATAATTTATATAGTTTAATTTATACAATTTGATATTATATAAGGGTAGAGATTTATAAGTCAAACATTGGAGTTGTATAATTTAATTTTTTAATTACATTGGAAAGGTTTGTATAATTAATTTTTTAATTAAAAAAAAATAATTATAAGTTGAAAAATAATGAGTGTCGTGCTTATATATGGAGATAATTTTAAATTACAATGACTACAAGATAAAGTGTTTTGACAATAAAAGAATAGCTGTATATATGATATAATTTAAATTACATGACACAAGATAAATGTTTTGACAATAAAAGAATAGAAATTTATAATTATTTATTAAAACTTTAAATAATTTATGTTGAGTAAATGAATTTAAAGTGTTGGAAAATTATTTATCTTTGAATTTTTATGTTTTATAGAATTATAGTTGTGTCGAAAATAGTAACTTTTTTTTAATTTACACAATTAAATAATTTTTATATTTTAATAATAAAAAACTAAATGTTCTACTTTTGATAATCCATTCTATAAGTAACAAGTCATTCGATCAATTTCAAACCTAATTGTCAATGTCTAATTAGTTTAAATCTAACAATGAAGAAAGATTCTGTATTAATACAGAAATTTTTAAATTTGTACTGTAGTTTTACCCTTCTGATTAAACGGCACAACCTCCACCAAAATAAAGAAAATTAGAAAAAAAAAAAACAGAAAAGCTAGGTTTATATATGAAATAAACTTGTGCTTTCATTTCTACAATCGAAGAAACAAACAGCCAAAAAATTAGATTTTTCAATTTATCAGTAAATATGGTAAACACATACAGTCTACTCGAATAGTAACTGTATGCGTGAATAGTAACTGTACACGTGAATAATACTATGCGTGAAAATAGTGTTGGGCTTACTTGAAACGGTCTCAGCAACAGTAATGCCAATAGTACTGTTCACCACTAACTTTGTGTTACTAATTTACTATTCATAACTAAGTCGATTCTGCAACGAATTTCCGAGCGAATAGCACCAATAGACTCGTCTTAATTTTCTCGTCGTCGTGGTATATTTATTTTCAAAGTATATCCACGGATCCAGTACCGCTATCTGACCGGCTGGATCTACCGAAACATTCGGCTCTGATACCAGTTGTTAGACATCAGCTCTGATACCAGCTATTGGGCATCAGCTCTGATACCAGTTGTTGGGAAAAAATTACGCAAAATCCCTATTGGCATCAGCTCTGATACGCAAGTTGTTGGGAAAAAATTACGCAAAATTCCCCGATAAGTTGGGAAAAAATTACGCAAAATCCCCGATAAGTCAGACGAGGGAGCAAAAGAAAATAATAACACACACAATTTGATAACGAAGTTCGGCCAATCTTACCTACGTCTCCAGACTGCTGCAGATCTTTTATAGGAGAAAAATAAATAAAGTGTTTACATACACTCATAACCCTCTATCCAAGAATACCCAAAAAATTAGGCTTAATTTTTCTTCTTGAATAATCTCTCTATTTTTCTCTCTTACAATTGCTCTCTCACAATTGCACTCTCATTTACTGATCTATATTTTTGCTGTGTATTTATGAGCTGCTAACTTTTCCTATTCATAAGAAAAGAGAATGTGTAAAATTCTGCGTCCACTGCCTAACTTTCCAAAGCTGTGTGCTTCTTTTCCTTTGCAACCCACCAATATTCTGCATCCACTGCCTAACTTTCCAAAGTCGTGTGCTTCTTTTCCTTTGCAACCCATCAATTTAAAGTTTCTTCTGATTTAAGTGGGCACACCACAACCTAACTTTGACATGACCATCTTAACATCAATCATTTTCTAAATTAGACGATACAGAATCCCTAGAATTATGTTAAATTGTTTATAAATTATCTATAAGATAAGAGTTGTACACAGAAAAAAATTATAATGAGAATTGAAACCTGTTCTTCAAACTTAAAACTCAATCTAAGAATTTTTGTGTGGTGTTGAAGTGCTTATCCATTGTGGATGAGATAGAGAGCTTGTGACAATCAATTGTGCGTTCTAATTAAACTTCTAGAAATATCTGTTTAATGCCCGTGTCGATGGCTTAGTGCGCTGTATATAGGCCGATCTTGAACCAATTACTGAAGGCCGAATTATTGAGATGTTAGGACCACGCAGCAAGTCAATAATCTGACAAAAAAAAAAAAAAAAAAAAAAAAGCTGTATATAGGCCGATCTTGAACCAATTACTGTAGGCCGAATTAGTGGCAAGTCAATAATCTGACAAAAAAAAGAAAAAAAAAAAAGAAAAAGACGCAAAGGCCAAAATTGAAATAATAAAAAAAATATTATAACCACTTCAATCAAGATTCTCTTTAAAAAAGAAAAGAAAAGAAAATATCAATCAGTTATTGAAGAAGAAAGACATGGCAAAAGCAGAAATGAATAGCAGAGGGAAAAGATGGTCTCTCGAGGGAAAGACATGAGTAGCAGAGGGAAAAGATGGTCTCTCAAGGGAAAGACTGCTCTTGTCACTGGAGGAACCAAAGGCATAGGGTATTTCTAATTTACTTATTCTTTCATTTTCCTCTCTTCTTTCATTTCATGCTTATATTAGTTTTCTTTGGAGTTCAGACATGCTATAGTAGAAGAATTAGCAGAATTTGGGGCAGCTGTGCACACATGTTCTCGCAACCAAAAAGAGCTTGATCAGTGTTTACAAGAATGGCAGAGCAAAGGCTTCAAAGTAACTGGATCTGTATGCGACGTATCAAATCGAACCCAAAGGGAAAAGCTTATAGATGTAGTTTCCTCCATCTTTGATGGAAAGCTTAACATTCTTGTAAGTTTTCTTCTTTTTTTTCTTTCTGATGTTTCTCTTTTAATGGTTTAACCAAGTGGATAAGTTTTCTTGTTCCGTCTCAATCTCATTTTTTAAATAAATAATTTTTCGATATATTAATTTTTTTTCCGCAGTTATGTGGATTTTTATTGAAATATTAAAAAGTATTAAAAAGAGGCCATTTTAATTAAAAATTGGAAATTGGGAAACTGACTAGTCCTACATATGCTTAATTAGGTCTAACAAACGCACGGGAAATACATTTAAAGAACCGCCTTAAAGATACTGCTGACATGACATTTCGACCATCTATGAAGTACCAATTTTGAGTCACAATATCATCTAGTCCAGCTTTGCATCTCTCCTTAAAGGCATAGAAAATGGAATATTGAAATATCTCTTCCATTGGAAGCATTGCTCGCTTTCCCTCTTTGTGCTCTCTATGCAGCATCCAAAGGTAATGATATTATGCTTTTTGGCCCTTTACTTATACATGATACATAATATATATTATGTCTTTCGGCATAACTTTATATTAATAGCAGTAATTATTGATAAAATTTTACCATATAAAAATATTTATTCTAAATAGCTATCAGCTCTGAATCTTTAGTTTACTTATTGGAAAATTTTGTTAAATTGAATCCTATTTGCTATTTAAAAAAACATAAACAGTAAGCTTATCGTACGCAAGTTAATTATCATTGAGAGAATTGATAAGATGATGATTTGCAGGAGCGATCAGCAAATTACAAAAAATTTGGCATGTGAATGGCGCAAATGACATGATTCGAGTTAAATGCAGTTTTACCAGGAATATACAGATTACCCCTTTAGATCTTGCAAAGGTTTTTTTCTATTAATTCAGTTTTTTAATATTAAATATTAAAGATGGAAAATAGCAAATTTTTACTCAACTTGTGATTAATGAAAGTGAAATAGTTTTGACATTATGAATATTGAATAGTTAATATTTTTTCTTCTTTTAAGAAAAGTTGGGATAAATACCTGAAGCCTGAGGATCAAATCACTCGTGGTATCCCTCTCCTCGAGACGGAAAACCTGCTGGTCTGTCTGGTGACGATATTCGGAGAGGATAGCACTCAGTGGTGAAGTAAATTCCTTTGTTTTACCTGCTTCTTCATATATCCCACTGGCCAAATTATAGATTGCTGTGGAGGAATTACGGTGAGTCGCTTTCTAAATTTTACCCAATAAAAAAAAACAAAATAGTAATTATTTGTTGTATTACTGAATTAGACAATTATCTCTATTTTAGTAATTAAAAACATTTTAAATAAAGTTCTAATCTGTGGAGAAACCATATGTAACGTGCTAATACTATACTAGAAGTGTGTTAATTTAAATTGGAATTTATGCATCTTTTTGTATGGAATCAACTGGTTGCTTTTTCATGCACAGAAAGAAAACAATGGAATTTTAGGTTAGACAGCACAAATTAACCCGCAGTAATGTTCAGGCTTTGCACTTGTATTTTTATCTATTCATGTTCTAGTTTTGGTAACTTTTTTATTTACAAATATATATATTTCTATTCACAAATTACTTTTTTATTAATGAGATAAATTTATTCGACTAATACATGTAAACTATATTGGGAATATATTTAAATAATTTTATAATTATATTAGGAGTAACAAAATTATCCTAAAGCTATTGCGCTCTTAAATTTATTTTATTTTTTAATATTAGAGATTTGTAAAGAAAAATTTAAATTCACATTTTTCTTTGTTTGCTCATTTTTTTGCTATACAAAATATTTGAATCACAAAACGATAAACTAATTTTTATGCTCTAAATTTTCAAATTTATTTATTAAGTGATATAATTTCTTATTTTCTTTCTTTTTCTATTTTTTTTATATTATTATCATTGAAGAAATTAGAGAAAATTTTGAGATTCTTTTTATTGAAGAAGAGAATGTGAGACAATAAAAAAAGTGAAAAAATAGAGAAATAATTGAATTGTGTGTTTAGATTTTAGATTTTAAACTTTCCTCTATCATAATATATATATATATATATATATATATATATATATGCGCAGTTTGACTTTTACGTGGATTTATTAATATAGTATTTTTGTTGTTTAGTTTTCTTCTAAAATACCATTCTTCTAATATTAACTGATTCATAATAATTCATTAATTTGAGTCTATAAATGTACATTAAATGGGGTTTATACTAGGAAATTAAACAATAAGTGATCTTTAAAAAAATATGACTTTACATTTTGGGAGACAATGGAAAACCAGAAAATAAGCTTTATATATGAGACATGGAAGTATATATTGAGTAAAATAATTCAGCCAAATACACTTGATTGTAATTCTTTAATAATAAGATAGCAATTACTCATCCGTCTAGAAAAGTTATTCCTTTTTTTTTTCCATACAGATTAAGAAATGTAAGTTATTAATAGTTAACAGACATTTTTTATTACCAATAAATTTTTTATGTTATACCCTTTTTTTTTTTTTTTTGAAAGGAACAATTATACGTATTCTTAATTACTAAAAACCATAATTAATAATATAAAGCAGGAGCACAAGTTCGGTGTATACTTATTTCTTGTGCAAAACTCCTCTTCCATTCTTGATCTCCGGCAACATTAGTGAATGGGTAGGTCGTTAGGTTGGCCGTCCGACCGTTGTCCCGTGGTTTTTAGTAAATGTATTATTCTAATTGTTTCATGTCGGTTTGAACTTGATATAAATTGCAATTAATGGAGACATAAACTAGCATCGATATCTTTTTAAAATTCAAGAGGAAAAAAAATAAAAAAAAAAACTACTTATTAAATAATATATGATTTAAAGGAAATTAACTTACGAAAAATAATGATTAATGAGGATTACTAAAAATAAGATAATTAATAAGTATATTAAATAATTTAACTATATCATGAAAAAGTAAGTGGTAGTTTGGGAATAGGGACCAGAATATGAAAAAATAGATTATCTTTTTAGCCAAGGAAGTTGAATTTATTGCTGCTCTCAAATACTACAAAATAAAGAAAATTAAAAAGTTTAAATACTACAAATGTAATTAACGTTTTCTTTTAATGAGGCCAAAACAGTTTTCGTTTTTTAAATCATCGTTGAGAGTCGTATGAATCCACTCGCTTAGCTTCATAGAATGAAACTGGTCTGCTTTTCATTTTAAATTGAAAAAAAAACAAGTAGGGAATTGCTTTTCTGATTAGGCTTTTAATACCTGTACAGATAGTAATTAACTTCTGTATTGATACAGAATCTTCATTAATTGACCAACATGTATTAAGAAACTATTGTACAATAGGTTCACTCAACTTGTGCTCTAATTCTTTATCTATATGTTTCCTACTTTTCTTTTCTTTATCCATATCTATTTTCTATCCTATAACAATATTTATAAAATATTATTAATGATAAATATAAAAGTATTAGAAAAAACTTAGAATTCAAAATTCATTGTTACATAAAATTTTTCTTCTAGTGTATTAATTTTTTTTTAAAAAATAAAATTATTGCTTTCATTTGAAATCGTGTTATAAAATCATATAAGAGCAGTTTTAACAAATTTAACAAATAGATAAAGTTTATTACAGGCATAATTTCCTTTTAATAAACAGAAATTAATAAAAATTATTAATTACAAATTCTATAATTTCCAATTTACAAATCTGAAGGTTATAAATTCATTTGATACAATAAGGACGTTTACATTATATATTTTAAACCAAACAAATTTTATTCAAAAGCTAGATGATTACATAACATTTATTTTAAAAATTGTAAATATATATTTACAACCTAAAAATAAGATTGATCAGAACTTCAAAATTTAAATGAATTTTAAAATAATTATATATAATTATATATTACAATATTATAATATATATATATATATATTATATATATTATATATAAATACACACACACGTGTAATTGATGTTTTTTAAAAACTGTAGAATCGAATTTAAGATAACAAATCAATTAGTTAAACAAACAAGTGAAGTATAAGGTATAATTTATATAGTTTAATTTAATACAAATTTGATATTATATAAGGGTAGAGATTTATAAGTCAAACATTGGAGTTGTTATAATTTAATTTTTTAATTAAAAAATATTATATTGAAAATAATTGAAGTTGTCGTGTATATATGATTATAATTTAAATTAATGATACCGTAAATGTTTTTAACAAAAAAGAATAGAAATTTTATAATTTTATTTATTAAAACTATTAAATAATTTATGTTGAGTAACATGAATTTTAAAGTGTTGACAATTATTTATCTTTGAATTTTTATGTTTTTATAGAATTATAATGTGTCGAAAATAGTAATTTTTTTTTTAATTTACACAATTAATAATTTTTATATTTTAATAATAAAAACTAAATGTTTCTTACTTTTGATAATCCATTTCAAATAGAAAACATAGTCATTTGATCAATCTTAAATCCAGGTCAATGCAATTAGTATTTAATCTAAGCGAGAGAGAAGATCTACTAATACAGATTGTTTAAATTTGTAACTGTAGCTTTACTCTTCTGATTAAAAGGCACACCTCCACCACCAAAATAAAAGAATTAGTGAAAAAAAAAAAAAAAAAAAAAAGAGAAAAGCTAGGTTTAATATACGAAATAGAACTTGTGCTTTTCATTTCTACAATTGAAGAAACAACAACCAAAAAATTAGAATTTTTCAATTTAACGGTAAATATGGTACACACACATATATATTTTCTGATTCAACGGTGTGGTCTACTGTATATTATATAATATATACTACATATATATAGGGTATAAACGGTATAAAAACGATATTACAAGGTATAATATACAAGGGTATAATGTAGAACAATTATATATATATTAGTGTTAGAACCACAGATGTAGTGGATAATATAAAAGGATGGAATATTTTTTGTTATGACCATCATCCAAAAAATAATAAAATGTACATAAAAATGGATGTGAAGATAGATTACAAATTATATCTCATTGCAGATATGTTAAAAAGTTTATAATGCTAATATGTGTCTTCTTAAGTATCAT